AACTGTGCAATTCATTTCCTTTTTTTTTAAAATTAGACCAGTCTTCTACTGTACAGCCTTGCAACTGTAAATTCAGTTTGTATCATACTTACACGCAAATTCTTAAAATCTATTGGAACACAGAAGTAGGCTTTCGAAAATCCTCCTTGGAGTTTACTAAACTTCTTTAGAGCCCTGACCACATAAATAACATATCTATTAAAAAGACAGGTGATCAGGACAATTTTCATTACAAGGATAAAGACTGCCTGACAGATTTACTTTTTTCTAGGCTACTTTCCAAACAAAGTCAACACCTAACAAGGAGTCTAAGTCGAAATTGATGTTCGAGGATGTAACTCACTAATTAATTGCTACTCAAACATTTCAAGGAACAATCAGATTTTCTGGTTGAACTACTCCAAGGACTTCTCTATAAAGAGACATTATGGTTGAGTATAACTGAATAAACTGAGGTTTGTTTTCTTTGTAAGGCATTCTCAACCTAAGTTCCAGCATCCTAGTCCATAGAAAAGAGTCTTCTTTTAGATAAATGCAGGTAGAGTAAGGTTCAATGCTAGTGCTGTTCTCATGCTCCTCATAACTTGTTTGCAATCCTCTGGAGCTGACTAAAAACTAAAAAGCTACTTATGTCTAGACTACAGTCTAGAAAGCTACATGTTCATTCCCCAACCAGAGGGATGTCAGTAATAGATTGTTCATGGAAACACTGCAGAGAATCAGCATATGGGAGCTTGCTGCTAACTAATATAACCATACCAAAAAGTTTTGTTTATTCAAATTCAGTGTCGCAACAACTACAGGCACACAATTTCTAACAGACATATGTAAATACTTGCTTACCTGCAACAGACCACAAATATTCTTTAATCAAGATTACTAAACCACACAATGACTACAGTAGCAGTGTCATTCCAAAGCAGAGGAGATGTAATCAAAATACAGGACAACCAGACTCTTCTAGGAAACCCAACCAGGAATCACTCTAGTGGGCACTGAAACCTCTTGCAGTCCCACATTTGTGGAGGAAGGTTTCTAAGGTCTCCCCTGCTCTGGGCAACCACGTCAGTGCAATGGAACCAAATGTTTTACACTTATATACACTCAATTCACTCATGTAGGAAAACTTCTGCTAGGACAACCGTACACAAACCCAGACATTATATAAGAGTTCAGTATGATGAACTGCATTATAATACAACCACATGAGATTATTAAAATAACTTTTTCCAGGTGCCAGATATTTCTTTGGATCCATCATGTTTGCATAAAATGACTAATACGTTACTTCATGCTGAGCTTCTAATCCTGCCTCCTCAGAATATGTCAAACCTGATAACCATGGCAGACACACTTGATACCTTTATTTTCTTGGTAGCACGAAAATCTATGAACTGAATTTCTAGTTGTTGCCTCCCTCTCCTGAACTGCCCTTCCTCTCTCATCATCCCCCACAGTCCTCCTCACCTCCTCCAGTATGTTGACACAGAGGAGTTTTAAAAAGAAATCAGAATGAAGTATTTTGCACAGAAGGGAAGATTTATTTTAGTATAGGATCATAAGAAGAAGTAACATTGAGAAAACTACTTGAATGCAAGAACTCTACCTCAGCTTTTATCCAAGTTGAGATATTTACTTGATAAGATTTCAAGTCAAATACATTTCTTTTCAAATGCAGTTAGGGTACCACAGTACCTATACAGAATAAAAAATGCACAAACAGTAATTTTGAAGGACATGTTACAGGAAAAAAGCATAAAAATTTTATCTGTGGGTGCTGAAAGACATTACTACAAAAAAGGAGTCTGTTCAGGAACATGCAGCATAATGCAAACCAGCTCCTTCACAACTATCTGCACAGGTATTACTTTGAAAGGAAATATCTCATCAGAAGGGGGGAAATATTGATCTGGTAAATCGCAAAATACATCATCTTCCTAATCTCTCCCTCACCTTCACTTCTGTCACTGTAATATATATTCAAAACATTTTTTTTTTAAAGTTTTTTTTCTATTTTTGTTACATAGAATAAACAAAATGCTTACTGCATTACCAACGAAAGTAACCATGCACCAAATTCTGACTGAAAATAACCTGGTAAGGAATTCAAGCCATCAGAAAAATCTATGGAAAAAAATATGTTTTTTGGTGAAAGAAAATAATTTGCATAGTAAAATTAATATCTTGTAATAAACAATACATGAAAATAAAACTCAATTACCAAGCCCATGCAACAGTGAAAACCCAAAGTAGAGTAAAAAAATTAGAGACTAAAATATTACGTAAGGAGGCCAAACTATAGTCAAAGCAACCTAAAATCTCTCACAATCCTCCTAGATGTTTTCTATTCATAAAACAAAGATGATACAGGACACTTACTTCAACCATGGTAAATTGCACTGCAGCACAGTAAGTAATTTCATATGTGCTGCATAAGTTTCTAAGTCTGTTTGTGCCTGGTTTCAAACCTGTCTTATATAATAATCTTCATGTGATTCAGGACTCTCCATCAATTTCTCAGTACTCTCAAACAGCTCTCCTCACAGCTCATAAATATCACCCTTTCTTCATACCCTCTCTGTCCTTTTCTTTACCATCACAAATTCTAGCAACTTAATTGACGACAGCTAACCCTGTAAGAACTATAAAGAAAAAAAAACAACAAAATTCTTAAAAAGAACCATAACAGTAAAGCAAGGAAACATGAATGGGTTGTTGCTTTTTTTTCCAGTCACCTGTATTTCTCTGAACAAAAGTTAACTACAAAGCATAAAAGGGTGACCAAAAATACACCACCAACTTAATATTCTTGATTAAATTGTTTCTTAGAGACATAAGGTATTAAGGATAGCAAAAAAAACCAACCAACCAACCAACAAAAATCCTCTCAGTTGAGGGAAGAGTGGAATAACTTTCTGTAGATCAACCCTGGGCTGCTTCCCACTGCCAACTCCAAATCAGCTTCATCATCCATTAATAAGATAAAATATGATCCAACTGTGATTTTTATAAATTTAAATAAAAAGGTTTTTAACTAAAAAAAAAAAAAAATTGTTTCAGACTCTTTCAGGCTCTTCTTAATGCATATAAAAATTTTAAAAATTAAGAATATCTCCAATACTATTATGGAAAAAAAAACAAACTACACATTTGTAATGAAGCTCATAGCTGAGATCAAGTAGCATATTATCCTTCCCAGGTAAAACCAACCTGAAGAAAAATTAGTATTTGTAGGCATTTCTTTGTAGAAGTAAAACCACTCTTTTATCAGATTGAAACAGTGCTTGCAGCTGGAACAGTTTGAAATAATCTCTACATGATAAAAACTCTTGAGATCATAGAATTCCAGAATGGTTTGGGTTGGAAGGGACCTTAAAGATCATTCTGCATGGGCAGAGACACCTCCCACTAGACCAGGTTGCTCAGAGCCCCATCCAACCTGGCCTTGAACACTGCTAGGGAGGGGGCAGCCACAACCTCCCTGGGTAACCTGTGCCAGCATCTCACCATCCTCACAGGAAACAATTTCTTCCTAATACAGAATACCAGCACATTGCATACAAATAGAAAATGCTTTTACTAAGTCAAGCACACATCACACATTTTACTGCCATCCATGCTCTTGAAATGGAACTGCAACAAAATCAGGTTTTGCATTTATTTAAATTGCAGGTAATACTTTGATCCATGCTCAAATACCCTACACCAATGGAAACACATGTAACCATTGACATTTCATACTCTCTGAAAATGCAAGGACCAGAATTTGCTAACCAACCGTCACTTCCAAATGATAAACATTAGGGAAAAAAACCCAAAAAAACAGGAAAAACAATTCAAGTCACAAACTATTCTGAAATGGGAAGAATAAAACAGAAATTATTACAAAAGATATTTAATTAATTGTTTGATTTCAACACCCATTTACAGCAATCCTTAAACTACCTCTCCCAGTGCATGTAAGTAGTAAGGACAGATTAATGCTTTTACAGTTGCCATTTTTAAACTACAGGGGTTATTTCTAAAAAAAGTACTTGAACTCCAAATTGGGTTGGTACAAAAATGGCACTCGTACAACATGTGAAGCAGAGCCTTTACAAGACAATATGAAAAATTTTCTTAGGACTCATCAATCGGACCTGTCCTTGCACGTGCCAGAAAACATTTATTTCAGTTCATTCATCTACCCTTTATTTAGCCTGCCCTCCTTCCTTTCCACCATCCCCCAAATAGAACTTGTCACAGGATTTTTCAGAACACTCTTACAGTCCTTGTAAAATGCAAAGAAGACAGAAAATGATGTTTCTCTAATGCTGGTTTATACATGGTGCTGATGTCTTTACAGAGTGAGCCCTCCATGTTTGAAATATGCACTTAAACACACTATTAAGAAAAACAGCTGCTTAAGACCACACAAATATCTACTGTCTCAATCACAAGCTTCTTATTATTTCATACAATACAACAATGCAAACTACTTTTGACAAAATTACTCTGAGAAATGTTTATATTTTATTAATTTGAAGTCATTATACCTCTACATGGACTTACAGGTAAGACATCTAAACTGACAGGATTTTTTCCTGTCTTGCATAAGAATGTTATCTTTTAAGGGACTTGAAAAATTTTGTATCGCTGGAAATAAAAAGCAACAACATACAAGTCCAATGCCTGCGCAGATTTCAAGAGGTTATGATTCCCTCAATACTCACATGTATCCATCTATGCTGAAGGACACTAGTAAAAGAATCTAAAATTTAGCAGGTTAATTAATCTGCCATTTCAACAAGTGTTGGCAAGATTTATTTCCACTTAGATTTATAACAAATTGTACATGTAGGTGAGTATTTCCATTAAGACCAAATTAATATGCCAAAAAGTAACTGCAGGTAGATACTCCAAACTTATATTGAACTTAAACTACTTTAGAAATTTGATAATTTACAATAATACTTTAAAAAAGCAGCCAACAAATAAACAAAAAACTACCATATACAGACCTTCCAGTAGTCAGATTGTAAACTGTAGTACCTCTGGTATGCAGATAATGCTGGAGGAAAGAAAAATTAATGTTAAATTTATTTTATTGCATTTCCTTTGAAGAAAAAGATAGAAAACCATAAGAGTCAGAATACACAACATTAGTATGATAAATGGTTTAATAAAAGTAACACTGCCCCAATAAGTACACTGTTGTGGGTAATCCATTAATTAAGATTATAATTTTGGTTTATGAAATGTCAACCCAAAAGTATATTTATTTTTAATCTTACAAATGTAAATCAAGTAATATTTTAAAGGAAACATATAACAATATAAATAACTTGACTTTTTAAAAAAATTTTTATCCTGGACAAAGCTGTTCTAAGATTTAAAAATTTAATCATGTAGCTCATTCACCATGCTCCCTTATGTCCTATAATTTTTGAAGAACTGGTGTGGAGGCACATAGAAAGAGAAATCAATTTCACATGCCCTTTCATTCAGCAACTACAGAAACAATAGCAAGCAAAAAAAAGCTTACATTTTATTCAACATCTAATAGCAAGACTAACCTGGAAGACAGTGTTAAGAACAGCACTATTCAGTAGAATATTAGCTCTACTTAGCAAAGAATTTCTCAAATCACCATGCCTGCATCCCTCTTCCCAACTGAAAATTCTGGGTGATTCATCATGCCTTTCTGCTAACAGGCCACATCTGACTGGAATGCAAACAGGCTTTATACTCTTATAAGAATATCGCACTAGAGACCATCAAAAAATTAAGAACTTTAAATTACAATTCACTGCAGTAACACCATAATTCTGATTTTTCAAGTGTTTGCTTCTTAAGAATAGTTTCTACACAGTATGTATTTTCCAAACAACACCAGAAGACAACCTCTGCTTTGAAAAACTAGAAACACTAAACAGATTTACATAGTAAGTACTTTATGTGCAGGTTCACTTCCTGCATGTACCATGCATAAAGGATGTCACTAAATTTTATGACCCTTCAATGCCTGCCTTACATATTAATTTCCATCACTTAACAATATCTCTTTAAGTGAAGTAAGAACAACATACACATAATGACAAGGCACAGAGTTTTCCCTTTTTAAGAATATACCTTTGCACTCTGCTGTCTATGGACACTCTCAACTTTATATTTTTAAATGCCTGATCCATGCTGAATCATGCTCATAAGGTGCCCCTCACCACTGGAACTGCTTGTGAAGCCAGCTTCTAATTTTGGTGCTCTAAACTGTGATTTATTTAGAAGCCCAGAGTAGAAAAAAAACAACTAGTACACTCATCAACCTTACACTAGCAACATGCAATATGTGAAATGTTTATATGCAACTTAAATGAATTAAATCACTGAAAAATTTAGTCAATCACGCTAAGTCTTTCAAAACTTGAGAATACAATTGCTCTCCTGCCCACCATCCTCCTCAAAACGATTGGTACAAACTGAAGGATATGAAAATAGTCTAACAATATCAGTTTAAGGATGTTAAGACTAAGCATATTTCAGTTACATGCTGTAATTATACTATAAAGGATGTTCACAGTAACACAAAATAACCTACCGCAAATACTCCTCTTAGATTCACCTTCTCCAAGGTATTACTGACTTTTTAGCAGAAAGGCTTAATTAGGTTTTGAATGTAGAAATTACTTTGTTTTACCAAACTGGAGAACACACATGCATGTTATGAAACCATTTTGTAATGCAACACACTTAAATGAAGGGAAATTTAGTCCTTTTTTTACTCAAGTAGTACCTAAAGGTTAAAGCATATTTTAAATCCTTAAGTCAACAGCACCATATTATGCAAGACTTAGGAAACTGAGAACTTCTTGTGATACATTATTTTTTAGAAAAGTAACTGTTGGAGTCAATTATACAGTGGATTTGAATAAAATAAAAAGAACATTAACTACAATGCTAAGAATGTATACCAGGAAAATAAAAGGGAGGGTATTTTCAGCTCAGCTGCTAAAATATACAGGTGTACCCACATGAGCATATCCAACAAACCATGGGTACATAAAATACATGTTTCCCCACAGCAGTTAAAATACTGCTAATAAGTTTATAAAACACCAACAGTTTAAAAACAAAGATAATTTTTTTTAAATCCCACAAACAAAAAAAAACACACACAAAACCAAACCCAACAAACAAAAAACAAACAAACAAAAACCACCAAAAAAATCCCAGAGAATCAACAGCTTTTCCTAAAAAGGAAAAAAAAAAAAAAGATACATTCCTTACAGAAGTATAACAAAGAAGTCTACAGCTCAAGCCTGTCTTCTTGCTCCTAACTCCAGCTACCCCAAGCATGCTCAGCCCTGCTCCCTAGCCAAGCAGAGACAATGCAACAGGGGTGAGCAGCACTGAAAAAAGGGACAGAAGACATCTGAACATGTTAACTCATTCCAACTCAATAAAGCCCTGTGTGAAGGGAAAGGAAGGACTGAGAGACACAGGAGAACAGCCTACACTAACATCACTGCTAGTAAATAAACTTCCCCAGAGAAATTCTAGTACCTCCACTTACTTTACTACAGGGAAAAGTTCTTATATTAAAGAGGGGAGACTTTGCTCAATGATATTCTACCAGTTCTCCTCTGAGTGCTGAATTTTGCAAATTACTTTCTTTTCTAACTCTTCCATTCTTCAATAAAGTTCAGTACCTTCCCATAGTAATAGCTGAAATGACTGCTTTAATGTTCCAGGCTCATGCTACAATTAAAAACAAGTACATTGAAAGCACAGACTGCTTAAGCACATTTCATGTTTACACGATAAGGAGGCCTTCATCTAAGGAAAGTCACATTACTCCTCCAGAGGAACAAATAAGACACTACAGTTCTGTTCTTAAGTGCCTGAAGTGTCCAATCCTACTCCTGGTTTCGTTAACCTCTTCTAGGCATCCAGTCTTTCTAGGGTAACAGTACTCTGCTTCTCCTCAACTTCTTGAAGATGAAATGCAAAATTCTCAGTGTTGTGATGAAAATGGATAATAATGAATCATGAAGGGAGTCCTTACACAGGAGCTAAACATCCTTTTCCTCCTCATGAAAGTTAGAGAACTAGAAACCATTACTGAAGCACAATTCCAGCATTTAATAAGTGCTCATCTTACAGTTAGTTACTTGTGAAAGTTTATTCCAGCCCTTTTACATACACATTAAGCATCTGCTCCACAAGCACCCAAGGTCTGCTGAAATGGATTGAGGGAACAAGCAGAAAAACAGGGATTCAAGGGAGCATTTTTTTGCCACACCCCACATGAAGCATCCCTAATCAAACAAACTCTTAAGATGAATCTCACATACAAGAGGACAGAAATCAAATTATGACAGAAAGATTTTAAAAAAAAACCTGAAACAACCTACTAGTTTTAAAGCAGTTGAACAGTAGAACATGAACCATAAATCTGAACACTACCATTCCTTCTATTCCCTGAGCAAGTCACTGGTGAGCAGACATTGATTCTGAGTTTTATGGTGTAGAAACAGTGTATCTCATTAAAAAATTGTATTATGGAACTACAAGCAAGGGAACTTCTTCCTCATAACTATAAGAAATTAGTGCAAACCCCTTCAATTAAAAACTTTAGTCTGGATTAAGAAGAAAAAAGAGCAGGTGAGTCAGCTGAGCAACAAAAATTCTACACAAGTGCCTATCTGAAACAGGCTATGCTTCATCAGTGCTATGATTCTAATTATGGAATTATATTCTCTGGTTTATTAAAAAGTGAATAGAAAGTGATTTGTGATACATATCACATTACTAGTATTCAAAAAACCAACCAAACAAAAACAAAACCCAATACTGTTTGTACCTTTACTTTTCATCCAAGACTGGTCATTGCAGGCCAAGACAATTTTTTACTTAAAAAACAATTCTGTGAACTGCTGCCCCTCTTTCAACATAGGGTCAACTCTCATTTTTATGGATGCAAGTGAATTACCCTGTTTCAGTTAAGGTACCCTTTTTTAAACATAACTAAATTAATGCTTTGAAATCACACCTAGGCATAGCAGAATTCTGCAGACAAACTTCTGATTAGAAATTAATTATTGAGCTTTTCCAATTTAAAAGTTTGCCACTGAAATTCTTAAACCTATGGAATTTTTGGAGGCCAAATATATATAGCAAGTTATTTTTTCAGCATCCAAAATACTCTTCAGCATCTAGAACATTCATCTTCAGACTCAGAAATAACAGGACTGAGTGTCAACAGTGGGACATTTCTTGCTTCACTCTCAACTCTATTAATAAACTGATCAAGTCAGCCACAGAAAACTCGCTTAAGAGCACAAAGATGAGAGACCACATCCAGACATCTAAAACTATATTGGACATCTGACTCAAGAACTCATTAAAAGGGTGCTCACAGTTACCTATCTCCATTCTTCTACCCAGTATTTCATTATTTATTGTATCAGCTTCCACTCTTCCTATTAATATCTCTCTCCAAAAGCTAGCAATTTACATTATTTGTCTAACAGGTAATACTTACTATATGACCCTTGGAAACCCTACAACCTACTGAGTGACAGACACAGCATTTATCATCCTACCCTGAGTGGGGGAAGGTTTGGCTATGTATGCCCCAAAGTTTTTCAGATCAAACACAATTCACTATACTGCTTGAGGAGATGAAAATAAAGTTTAGGTAAAATAACTTTGACAAGAAAACCACCATCTTTCCACCCAAAGAATTAAAACTACTGGACAGTAATCTCCTCAGCTCAGTCTCTGTCTTGTAACATTCTACCACTGACTGCAGAGCTGACTCTCAGCGACTTCAGTCACAGTCTACTGGTTTCCTCTTCTTACAGGTTTTTACAGTCACCCAGAACTACTCATTTTGCAGCATCTACAATTACTTCAGCACTGACAACCTTTATTAATTGCCCCCCAAGAGTGGGGGGCACTTACTATGACCAGGGTCAAAGGACATTTCAGAATCAGGACAGAAATGATACTGGGTTTCTTATCCATCCCTGTTTAAGACTCCTTGATTTCACAGAGAGAATACAAAACAGA